TTTATGCTGGGTTCTAAAAAGAACATTACTTTAAGCCTTTCTTCTCCTTCACCCCGCCCCCCCCACCCCGGCCACCTCCACTCAGCAATGCAGGAGGTGATCTTATAACCAGAATGGCCCTTGATTTTTGGAGGGCAGGAAAAAAGAGGGAAGACATTCAGCTCAAAGACTTGGAGTCTGTGCTATCTTTAGGAGTCTTCAATAACAAAAACAGTAAGTATGCACGAAGAGCCCTTTGAATTAACCAAAAGCCTTCTCTTCACATGGATTTTTTTTTTTTTTTTTTTTTTTGGTTGTCTGTGAAATTCTACTGTTGGACTTGGTTTGATTACATCTGCTGCCCGGTGTGAAGCTGAATCAGCATCCTTGCTTTTTATCCATTGATGCAATTAAGATGGATTGAGAGCCATTAGATGCTACACATCTACCAGTTCTTTCATTGGTCAATGAAAGTGTTTCTAGGATCATAGAACTTTAGAGTGGATTTTACAGAGAAGGAAATGAGTCTGGAGAGGTGACATGACTTGCCCTCCCCATCATAAAGAGCCAATGGCTAGTCAAATCAGGGTTGCATCTCAGATTCTTGGATACATAAGCCAGTGCCTGATCCGGAACCATCATGTTCTCAGTTATTTGCGTCTTTTCTCTCTCAATGACGTCTTTAATAAGTTGACAAATGAAAAAAAATTATGTATAAAATCTGCTGGGTGAATAAGGAGATGCTGTGATCAGAATTGATATGTTCTAACAGGAGTAACTGAAGAGGGTTTAACATGTTACCTCTTTGCAGGTGACATCACTAACACTCAGATTCCATTGCTTTTTTAAAGACTATTTAAGATAAGGAGAGGACCTGTGCTTTCATTGGCATAAGGAATTCCCAGCTAAGGAAATCCTTTACCAATGTAGGTTGGCATTTCCTGCAACCTATTGTCATAGAGAATTGCTTGGGTTCTGAGAGGCAGTATGTGTCAGAGATGGGACTTGAACCCAGGTCTGCTTGGCCTTAAAGCTGTCTCTTTGCCCACTCCTCTGCCTCTCTTGGAGGTTATTTATTTACTTCCACTGAAGTCCTACCCCGCTGTCTTATCATGAGGTTGATTCTGGGTTCTCAAAGGCTGTCAACAGAGAATAAGTTCAGGAAGGTCCTACCAAGATGGAAACAGAGAACAGACCCAGAGATGGACTGGGTCTCTTATTTGATGTCCAGCCAAAATAAATTTGAAATGGCTCCTCACCAGTTTGGTCACAGAGTGATGATTTTTCTACCACAGCAATCCTTGAAGACTATAATACTGAGTTACAGAGAGAATATTTTTATTCTCTCACACTGCTAAAATTATACAACTTTGTGGTATTGAAAAAGTTTTTATGAGACATCAATCACAGCTTGATTGTCATTCTTCCTTGACTTTCATCTAACCCAGTTGTGATTTGTTTCACAGGTGGCTTGTGGCACAGTGGCCTGATAGACAAGAGCCTCATTGATTACTTTGTTCCGTTTCTGCCCTTGGAGTACAGACATGTGAAAATGTGTGTGAGGGCAGAGATGAAATCAAGGGGTTTTACCATAGATGAAGAAGTTGTCACAAAAGTGGCAGATGAAATGACGTTTTTCCCAAAAGAAGAGAAAATCTACTCCGATAAGGGCTGCAAGACGGTGCAGACAAGGCTAGATTTTTACTGATCTCTTACTACAAGAGAAGCAACCAGAAGATGCAGCCAACCAGGCCCTGCCTTTCTGAAGCACTTTTGAAGACCCTTTTTAGGAGTCTGCGCATTTGCACTTACTGACTTTTAGGAAAGGTAGCTTTCTAAGAAGAGTGGATTTTAAAAACATATCACTAAAGAACTTTGCAGCCCAACTGTTAATTTTCAGTTGAAGGTGGGACTTGAAAAATTCCATTCAAGCTCATCATCCCTAACATTGCCAGAAGTGGCCTTTACAACTATTTATGTTTGTAAAGTAATTGGAATTTACTGCTGACTCCATAACACCTGCTGTGTGTCAGAATTACTGTCTTAACTGAAGGGAGTTCCCTGTGGCTGGCCCAGATGTGTCCAGATAACATTAGGTCTTCACCTGAAGAATTTTAGATTGGATTATTCTGTTTACTTTCTGCTCTTTACACATAGAACATTTATCATTTTCAACAAGGATCATTTAAAATCTAGAGCACTCCACAACTACAAAGCCATACTAGGTGAGAGTATGTGGCCATACGGGCCTAAATCTCTTGAGCTCAATGAATTGTGCCATTGAAGGGACTTGCCTCATTTCATAATCAGCCCATAGTATTAACTTAGGAGTGTTTCCAGCGAGTGTCTGTTCCTCCTTCTATGGTGACGTGGAGCACTGAGGTCACCTAATGCAAACAAGGCCTATTGATTCAGTGCCTAGTTCATGACGCTCTCACACTTTTTCTGGTCAGAAGACTACACTGTAGCTCTAAACTTCAGCCTAACATCCCTGAAATACATCTCCAAACCCTGTTGCCAAAATCAAATCGTTCTTTAGGACCGACATGGTTCAGAAATTGGGTCACTTGTTCTAGTAGTCAAACACTTCTCTCTCTCTGTTATGACTTATATAAGGGTCAATCTTGAATTTGGTCCTTGCAACTCTAGTGTGAAATGCTTAAGATTTGTTCATTTATGAACATTCCAGTGACTCGTGTCACTGAAAGGTCATTGCATGTCATAACTGGTATTTTCAAAGGCATGTTTTTGATAGTTCTGAAATATATATGAGAAGTGTGAGAAACTGCTTATTTGATATAAAGGAAGGTATAGAATGGAGTTATAGTTTATCCTCTTCTCCATACATATTCTTAAACTCAAATGGAGTTTGGATTCTTATTTCTAACTTTATAGTAATGTAAATGAAAACTAAGAGATCCGATGTGGTGGCTGGTTATGGTCTGCATTGCCATGGGAACCTGAATCCTGTCGATTCCCCTACGTTGACTGAGTTGATTGCCTCTTTGAGGGAAGTAAGAACATTTTTTTTATTCCGGTACATGTGGATACTATAGTTGCAGTGCAACTGGTTAATCGTGCAGCCTTTTTATACATAAGAGAAAGTTATAGAATGAATATTTTTATATGTTAAAGGATTGGAAAAATTCTAAACACCATATTTAGTCTTTTAATAAAATTATCCCCAGGATGGCACTTTCTATGTTTTTAACGTATATGCTCAAATTGGAACAGTTGGCTACTTTTATCACCTTGTGGGTGGGTGGTCAGGTGGTGACCTGTTTATTCTGATGCAATAAACTGAACACATTAGTAACCTTAGGCCTTTGGACTGTTGTTTCTGATTTATAACTTTGAAAACCTGCAAGTAATTCTCCTATCCCCTACCCCTCTGTCCTGTGGTTTTAAGTGTTCCCTTAAAAGGTGTGAATGAAAATTTTAAACTATGAATAAAAATTAATCAAAGCTGAAATTTTATCATTTGATGTATAATGTCTTCCTTTCAGTAGTTTGTTATTCAACAATTTTTAACAAAAAATACTTGTTTACTAGTTGTTTAATTAAACACAATTTTGATAAGATGCTTTAGTATGGGTTGCCACTGCCTGGGAAATAATGACTTTAGTCTTATTTTAGGTTCTTAAGGTCTAGAAGTTTGGAGAGTAACAGGGGTGGTTTTTCCTAACAGCCCAGTAATACTAGGCAGACTCACCATACCTAAGTTGAGTGCAAAGCTTGTTTTCATTCACACAGGGTCAGTGGATTGGGAAATTAGAATTGTTACAAACAATTGTTACATCAGAACTCGTAGAACCTTTTCTAGATAAAGTAAGATACTCCTAAAGCTCTTTGCAAACCTTAAAGTGCTAAACAAATGCTATTAGTAGGAGTAATGTTTAACAGCACAGAAAAGAACTATTATCTATAAAATGTGTGAAAACCTGGTGAAAAACTTAAAGCAGATTATTGATGTTTCTTGATGTCATAATAATCCAGTTACAGTGCAATGTCTTGTACAAAGCATTTTTGTCATGTCACCCTAAGAGATTAATCCTCCTTTCTACAGAAAAGGAAATAGGCACAGGTGGGTGAAATTCTTTGAGCAGTCTTAGAGCTATTAAGTACCAAAGTCTGGATTCAAACTAGTCTTGGAACTCCAAGTTTTGCCACTCAACAATGCTGCCTCTTAGCCATATATATACAACTTGGAACCAAGAAATTATGTTGTTGGACATGTAAAGGCTCTCCTAAACTCAGGCATGACCTCTGTGCTGATCGGAGATGTGCACTGCTGTTTTAAAATATCTGAAGGGCTCTTTAGTGTGATTTAATAGGAAAAATACTGGCTTTGGTGTCCAAAGATCCAGGTTTGAATCCCAATTCTATTACTTAAGAACTTGTATGACCTTGGGCAAGTTACATCCCTCCCACCCCCCCACCCCCCGTCTGTTTCCTCAACTAAAATAAAGAGGGGCTGGGGGGAAGGCAAGATTAGTCCCTTCTAGCTCATGCTACCTTGGCACTTTGTAGCCAACTGATTAGATTTGTTTGTAGCAGAAGCACAGAGAACTAGAGCCAATGAGCAAAAGTTAGAGTGAGGCAGAGCTGTGCCCTTTGAACATTTGTTTCCTAACATGGCAAAGTAATAAATTCCCTGTTACTGTTTGCAGCTTGGTTAAATGATCATCGGTGAGTGAGGTTCTGGAGTTTTGATCTAGGTATGAGGTCAGACTAGATGACTCTTTATAAACCAATCCCCTGCTAAGTTCTTTTAAACAGCAAACTATTGTTGTGACTCAATTTATGCAACTTCCTAGAAACACATTACCGAAAAGAGGGTGTGTCTCTACCAGGCAAAGTATTCTACAAAGATGCAGCACAATAGTCTCAACCCCTTCCAGCTATCAAGCAAATGTCCAGAATTTTTCTCTTCATTCTAACCAGTAGTTTATGTATCTTTATGATTTGAGAAGTGTGTAAGGCAAGGGCTTACAGGGCCTATTTTTCTCTGAAGAAATGTATTTACAAACTAGAAAATCACATTTTATTGAAAAACCAGTTATTTGTATTTATAAATAAAAACACTATCCTCAGCATCTTTATTAGATGCATGTAAATTTTCCAAGGGTTTGGGGCTGAGGGGGGAAGAGTGTATTTAATCCCTTGATCATAAAAGCAAAAACTGGTCATTGTAGAGAAGGGCTTAAAAATATGGCAGAACTCACCACATATAAATAAGGACAGCAGGTGCATAAATAGTACAGTTGCTCTTACTTCGGAGCAAGGGCATCATGAGGAATAAAAAGTGAGATGGGAACGAATGGAACGTGTGATTTGGCCTTCGTTTCTGTAAGTCATCAACTGGAAACACATTCAGGATGCCGTGTCCCTTTTCAGTTGAAGAACAATCCTATTTTCATAAACTCACTGTTTCAGTCCTTATAAAAGTTTTTTGCTAATTAACAGTTATTTTAGTACTACCACACTGAACTTCCTTGAAAGGATATTTTTAAGGCTTTTTGTGACATACATACAACAAATAGCCTCAGATGTTCATCTTCTCATACATTTTTCCTTCTCTTTAAAATTTCTCAGCTCCTGTGGGCAGGACTGACAAGACAGCTTCAATTACCCTCTTCTGACAGATTGCTTTCTCCCTATTCCTGTCCCTGGACTACATTGACTGAAATCTAGGAAATGCTTTCCAGATCACTGATGTTTGTTTCTGTACTAAAGACATAATCATTATCAAGATTTTTTTTTGGTAAACTCTCAAAACCTCAAAATTTAGACTCTTAAGGATAAATTTCTCATGATATTAAAAACTACTTTGAGTCACCTCATCACATCTTACATAAAACTTACTTGTCTTTCCTTGAAACAGAAACCTGTAATTAAAATGTGATTTCAAAAAAATCATAGGCACTATTACAAACGTGTTAGGTAACGGTTGACTTCTTTCATTGGTGCTGTTCCCACGTAAGTTAGGGAGGCAGATCCAGGCTTTTGAAAAGGTTCGATGGCTATTGCAGATTCCTCTGAATAAAAAAGGCAAGGAGAAATTCCTTTTTCTATAAAAGACTTAAAATTCATTTTCCTCCTCATCTAGGAAAAGGAATTTGGGGGGGGGGAGCCCAAGTGTTTCCATTTTGAGTACTTTCCTTTTCAATGCAAATAAATGCATCCTGAAATACTTAGTCATCGTAGTAATAATCCAACTTAGTGTATACAGTTTTGCAGCCTTTATCAGAGAAAACTCTCTCTTCTTTGGGGAAGAATGTCATCTCCTCTGCCACTTTAGTTACAATATCTTCATCAACTTCATGGCCACGAGATTTCATTTCAACTCTGATGCACATTTTTAGGTGTTTGTATTCCAGAGGAAGAAATGGAACAAAATAATCAATGAGGTTTCGGTCGATTAGGCTACTGTGCCAGAAGCCACCTGGAAAAAGGAAAACAAAGTCAGTACTGGTGAAGGTTAGTGTTCTTCAGGGGAAAGAGCAATGGATTTGTAGCCAGGACCTGGGTTCAGATTCTCACCTTATATACTCCAGACCTGTGTGACCTTGGGCAAATCACTTAACTGAGGAAACAAAGTCTGTTTCCTCATCTGTAAAATAAGGGGGTTGGACTAGATAACCCAAAAGGTTGCTCCTAGGTCTGAATCTAGAATTCTGTGTCGTCAGGGATAACAAAAAGTCACCATCCCAGCATATTCTTTGGCCCATCAATACCACCTCTTGGCCCATACCTCAAAAGATATGAAAGAAAGAGAAAAGGGAAAAAATATTATAGTAGTTCTTTTTTTTTTAAGTGGCAGAGAACTGAAAGGGCACCCATCAATTGGGGAATGACTAAAGAAATTATGGTACATGAATATAATGAAATAATACTGTGCCATATTAAAATGACAAAGTGGCTGGTTTCACAGAAACCGGGGAAGTCTCATATAAACTGATACAGAGTGAATTGAGCAGACCAGGGAAACAATCTATACCGAAGCAATAGCATCGTAAAGACGAACAACTTTGAAAAACTTAAGAACTCTGGAGGATGCAGTGGCCAATCCTGGTTGCACAGGGCTAATGTTACCCATCCCCAACAGAGGGGTGGTGATGGACTCAGGGCACAGAATGAAATAGACATTTTTGAACATGGCCAATGTAGGAAGATGTTTTAAGCCTGACTACACTTAATTGTTACCACTGTATTGTTTTTGTTCTTTTTTGTTGTTCTTATTTTCAGTTGAAGAACAGGGAATAGGAGGGAGTGAAAATAAATGCTTGTTAATAAAAGTTAAAAAAAACAAAACAAGGAACAGAACCTGATTCATCAGGTTCTAAAAAGTTAAAGTTAGGAACACGAAAATAGTTCTAGATGAAAAAGTCCACATCTCCAACCCACCAGAGCTGTTGCAGCCCAATAGAATTCCTTGTCTTCCCCAAGGGAAAGAAAAGATTTAAAACAAGAAAATAGAAAAACTATGAAAATTGTTCTAAAATATTTATAGCAGCTCTCTTTATGGTGGCAAGAACTAGAAACTGGGGAGATGTCCATTAGTTGGACAATGGTTAAATAAGTTGTGATATATGATTGTGATAGAATACTACTGTGCTATAAGAAATGATGAGCAGGTTGATTTTAGGAAAACTTGCAGGAAATAATGAAGAGTGAAATGAGCAGAATCAAGAGAACATTGTGTACAATAACAGCAATATTGTTCAAAGAATAACTGTGAAAAACCAAGCTATTCTGAGTGTGTGTATATACATATATATACATATACATATATATGTATATATATGTGTGTGTATATATATATATATATTCAAATCAACTACAAAGGACCTATGAGCAAGATGCTATTCACCTCCTGAGAAAGAAATGAAAAACATAAGTATATACACATACATATATATACACATATATGTATATATGTGTGTATACAGATATATGTATATATGTATGTGTATATGTATCTAGGTCAAATGGTGACCTTCTCTTAGTGTAGGGTGGGGAGAGAAGTAGGGAGAGAGACAATTTAGAACTTAAAATGTAACGAATTACAGTGGAGGGGAAACGGGGGAAGGTGAGTGTGAATGAGTAAATCTTATTCTCATCGGATTTGGCTTAAGGAAGGAATAACAAACACACTCAATTGGGTATGGAAAGCTATCTTACCCTACTGGAAAATAGGGGGGAAGGGATAAGAGGGGGGCAGGGATGATAAAGGGGAGGGCAGATTTATGGAGGGGGTAATCAGAAGCAAACACTTCTAATAAGGGACAGGGTCAAAAGAAAGAACAGAATAAATGGGGGGTGGAATAGGAATAAGGGAAACACCTAGTTTTTCACCACATGACCACTATGGAAGTGTTTTGCATGACTATACCTTTATAACCTATACTGAGTTGCTTGCCTTCTCAATGAAGGTGAGTGGGGAGGGAGGAAGGGAAAAAAAATAAGAAAGAAAAAGAAAAAAAAAAGAAATTGTGTGTTCCCCCAAAAGGTTTAAAGGTCAGTATCCACAAAATCTTACTTCTTAGAAGAACAGTTCATTTTAATTTAGAAACATAGCAGTAGCAGCATCAATTGTATGTTTAATGTTACTTGTATGGTTACTTGTATAAAACAGCAAGATTAATAGTGTTTACATTATAACCTGTTGTGTTTGATTACAAAAAAAATTTTTTTTAATTAAAAAAAATTTTTTTAAATGTAACAAAAAAATTTTTTTAAAAGAGAATAAAAACTATGAACATTTCCAAATGTGCAGACTAAGGTCTAGAACATTCCAGACATGGAAGAGAGGAAGACTAGAAGATAACAAAGCCCCCTCCCCAAAACACTGAGTTACACACACACACACACACAGTGCCACTTACTATTCTTGTTATTGAAGACTGACACAGATAACGCCTGCTCCATGTCTTTCAGCTTGATTTCCTCTCTCTGCTTTCCACTCCTCCAGAAATCTAAAGCCACATCTGTTATTCTTTCAGCTCCTGCATTGCTGTGAAATGTATACAAAAATAAGGATTTGCTTTAGTTGCTGTTAAGACACCCCAGAATTCTTCATTCCTTCCCAATCTCATCTTACCTGAGAAAGATGAAGATGGCTTTCTGATAGGAGACCCCATCTATCAAATCATAGTAGTCAAGGAATGGCTTGATAGCATCGATAAGCCCTGCGTGCATCTTATCCATTTCATCAAATATGAAGATGGACCTTGCACAGGCACTCACATTCCCCCGAATCCACAACTGTAACTGGTCCTGGATTACAACAAACCGAAAATACCCAGAGGAGACTTCAGTAAGAATAACACATAAAAATGTTACCCTGGAAGTAGCTAAAATGTCTAAGAAATCTTTCTTTTAATGCTATCACTTGAACGCCATGCCAATCTTTTCTTTTAATCTTTTGTCACAATTAGAAAAGAAATAGGGAAGAAAATTATCCTTTGTATTCTAATGAGGAAGATACGGTCTACTGAGGTATAGTATGTTACCATCCTATTGAGCATCTAGAAAGAAATCATTTTAGGTTCTAATTGAATACTACTGATTATGAAAGAAAATAAAGCATACCTAAGGATAACCTAAAGAACATTAATTAATTAATGAACATAAGCATAACAGCTTATAACCTCAGAATGGTAGTACTAATATATCTATACTAGTAAAAGAAATAATGAAGAAAAGCAATTTAAGTATTCTTACGCATTCTCAAAAAAACCCCTTCCCAATTACTTTTGCTAAGGCAGAGTGAAATCAAACAACAGGTTATAGAAATAGTACAATGTGAAGGAGGGCTGTACTGGTAGAAGACATGAGTTCTTGTCTAGCCCTGCAACTAACTAGTTTGAATATAACATGAGCTTGAATATAACTTCCCCTCTCCGGGCCTCAGTTGCCTCATATGGAAAATGAGGGACTTCTCTACCAGATAGCTCCCTTCCAGCCTCATTCCTGAATGTCAATCTTACCAATTCAGCACAATGGACACTTCTTCAGGAAACATTACAAAGCTCCAACAACCAAACTGCTCTTGTGTATCAAACATACCCACCTCCCAAATGCCGTAACCTTTAGGAACATGCAAAGTATAATATAAAACTGACATCTAGAAAGAAGTTCTCAGAGATCATTCATTTTTTAGCATATTATCCCATAAATTTCACTGCCACCCACACAAAAACATCAAACAAAGCCCAACCCCTGTGCTGTCAGGAAGGATTCCAAATTATCTTCTTGCCTTATATTGTACGATGTTCCCAGCATGTGGAAAGTGCAATGTAGCCACAAATAGATGTACATAATCACTGTTAAGTCCACCCTCATAAATATGCTCAGCTATGATTTTGCTGACAAAATTTTTCCCTGTGCCAGTCCATCCATGCAGGGAGAGGGTAAGAGGTTTCTTGGACTTTGGGTTACTTATGAACCCGGATACAGCATTTAAAATCACTTTCTTTGCAAGATGCTGTCCAAAGAGCTTGCTGTCAAGGTCCTTCTGCAATGCTGAGGAAAAACAAAATTTGTCATGTGCAAGTAACCAACTGGTTTGCAGACTAGATAAAACATAAGGGTTGGTTCAGATCTTCTGGGATGCTAACCAGCTATGATCAGCAGTTGACTGAAATAACCTGCCTCTTCAGCCCCAAAGAAATACTGAGGAGGATTTCCTCCACCCCTTGTTATTTCTTCCCTCCTGCAAACTTCCTAGGCCCCATCTATGCCAATGACACATCATCTTCTAGCTTTTTCAAACAGGAACAAAAACTATCCACCAGTTTGGCAGACAGGACTCTGCCTCTTCAATGTCCACATCACATTTGAGGATTAAGCACCCAAATCTAACCCTACTTTATTGCCCCCCTTCTCTGGACAGGAGGAAAATGAGACTCAGATATAGACTCAGATACCACTTGAACAACGGAAGGAGACAAGACTCCCTTTTTCAATATCTCTCCTCTTCTCAATTAAGAAGATACTTTTAAGAAGATTCAATTATGAAAGTACTCTATTTTCTCTTGCAAAGAAGGTTGAAGCAGAGTCTACAAACACAGGACCCTCCCCCTCCCATTTTTTGTCAGAGGCAGCAAGCAGTCCCCTATCTCGACTCCCAACCTGCTCCCTACAAAATCTCTGGACTTATCCAGGGAGCCTCTCCCACTCTTTCCATGACACTCAAAACGTCCTCCCTTGTCCTTACCAGGTACCACCACTCCTCACCCCATCCCCACCCGATCTCCAAGTTTTACTTCTCTGTGATGTCTGTCCTTGAGGAAGTATGATACAAAGCCATGATCATTGGACTTGGGAGTCAGGCACTTTGGGTTTTAATTCTAACTTTGCTACTTTAATAATGGCTAATATTTCTAGTTTACAAAGTGTTTTACTAACAACACTATGAGATGACGGTCTTTCTTTCTTTCTTTTTTCTTCTGATCCAGACTTGTGATTTCATCTGTAAGAAGGAACTTTTGGGGTGGAAACTCCCTTCACTGATACAGATGGGCAACTCTCTGGTTATTTATAGCCATACAATTTTCTGGGGGCACTGTTAAGTGACTTGTCCAGGGTCATATAGGAGTTGAACCCAGATCTTTCTGACTCCAAGGCTAGCTTTTATCCACTACACTATTCTTGCTTCTCTAAGAGGTGATCTCAGCCAAGAAGTATGGCCAGATCTTGGGCCAGCTAATTATGGTTGGTTCTCACCAATTAGGAGCATGGCCCCAAGCCTGCCAAACTGGAGAAGTCATACAATCTCACTCAGGCTTCTTCCTCTTTAAAACTAGGGTATTAAACCTAAACCAGCAACTCCCTCCTCTCCCCTTTGGGAACTATAATCAAATCAATACTACCACTTTTTTCTGAAAAAGACTTGCCAAGCAAGCATCTATTAGATACCATGCCAGGTCCCATGCCAGGTACTGGGCATACAAAGACAAAGAATAAAACAATACCAACTCACCAGAAGTTTGCATTTTAACTGGGGAGACAACAAGGTCGCATAAGTATATATGGAACAAACATAAAGAGAGCAAATACAAAGTAGTTAAATGGTAGTTTGAGAAGGGAGGGCCCTAGAATTTGAGGGAATCAGGAAAAGCTTCAAGTAGAAGCAAGCAACTGAACCGCATCTTAAGGAAGAAAGGGGCTGCTCCAGGCATGAGGAATAGCCAAAGCAAACACCCAGAGACAGGAGATAGCGACCAACTATGCTATTATTGTTCCACTCACCACCTTACCCAAACTCCCTTCCCTAGCCACCACTCTTCTATACCTTTCATCTCTCCTTGTTAGAAAGGAAGCTCCTGGAGGGCAGGGGTCTTCTCAATTTTGTGAGGTTTTTTTTTTTATCCCCAGGGCTTTGCGTGGTGTCTGTTTCTTTTGCAGCTAGATGAGGCTGTGGAGAGGGTTTGGGGCTTGGAGTAGTCAAACACTGAGTTGGAATTCTGCCTCAAACACCTAAAAGTTATGTCACTCTGAGTCCCTCAGTTTCTACATCTGTAAAATGGGGATAATAATAGCACCTGCCTTCCAGGGTGATTTTGAGGATAAAAATGAGTTAACATATGCTTAAAGCGCTAGGTAAATATTAGTTATTATTATGATTCATCTATCCATCTATTCACACATTCACTCATAAATTTCAGAATCGGGATTCTAACCCAGGTCTTCTGACTACCCAAATCCAGGGTTCTTTCTAGTACAACATAATGGCTTTGCTAGCACCTGTATAAGCCTGGGCAAGCTATTCGTCCTTTCCAAAGGGCCGAAGTTTCCCAGTCCGGTCCAATGAAAGGGTTCAACTAAATGACCTCCAAGGTACTCTGAATCTATGGTGCCCTCCAAGGGGACCCCCGCTTCCGCCCCACATCAGAGACTGGGGTCTCTCAGAGCCGGAGTCCAGCCCTTGATGCTTCTTGCCCCCCCACCCCCGCCTCATACCCCTGACCTCCCTTCTCCAGAGAGCACTAGAGGGTTTGGAGCTGCTCATTTAGTCCCCATCGCCCCATTGTACGGATGAAGAAACAGACTCACGAGAGGCAAGGGGACGAACCCGGGAGCGGCAGAGGCGGGCGTCTGCGCCCCTACCCGGCCTCTAATCCCGTGCGTCCCGCCTTCCCCCCCCCGGCCACATGCGGTCCCTCCCCCCCCCCCCCCCCCGCCAGCCCCGGGCCGGCCCTACCCTCGCGGCTGAGGCTCCGCTTCTGGCTGCAGCACTCGGTGAAGAGGCAGTAGAGGCGCGGGTAGGAGATGTAGCCGGTGAGCACACCGGCCAGGGCCAGCCCCAGGCTGATGGGCTCCACCGCCCGCACCAAGGGCGGCGCCAGCAGCAGCAGGCCCAGGGCGGCCCGGACCAGCTTCATGCCCGGACCCGCACTGAGCCGAGCCAAACCGATCCCGCCCTCCCGGCCACGGCCTCGGCCGGTGCCGATGACAGGCCGCCGCCGCTTCCGGCTCCGCCCCGCCCCTACCGCCCGCCACCATCTTTGTGAGGGAAAAAGCACTTCCCGCGCCTTCTCATCCCACTGGCAGCAAAGGCAAGGTCGGCCATCTTGGAGTCGGGCAAAGAACGTGCCTTCTCCCTTCCGCCTCCCCTCCCCCTCCAACTCCTTAAGGCTGTGGTTCTCAAACTTTTTGGTCTCAGGACCATTTTACACTCTTTTTCTCTCCTTTTTTTTTTTTTGGTAAAAAAATAATTAATTAGTTTATTTTTAGTTTTCAACATTCACTTCCATTTTTTCCTTGACCTGATAGTCTGAAATTTGGCTGTAATGTTCCCTGGAGTTTTTATTTTGGGATCTCTTTCCCAAGATGATTGGTGGATTCTTTCAATACCTATTTTGCCCTCTGGTTCCAGGATAACTGGGCGGTTTTCCTTGATACTTTCTTTTTTTCTTTCTTTTTTAATTAATTTGTTTTTAGTTTTCAGCATTCACATCCATAAGCTTTTGAGTTCCAAATTTTCTTCCCCTCTTTTCCCTCCCCCCACCCCAATACAGGTGCAATCTGAATAGGCCATACATGTACAATCATATTAAACATATTTTCACATTATGTTGTAAAGAAGAATTAGAACCAATGGGAGGAACCAGTAGAAAGAAGAAATAAAAAAGAAAAGAGAGCAAATGGTATGCTTCGATCTGCATTCATTCAGACACCATAGTTTTTTCTGGATGTGGATAGCGTTTTCCATCATGAGACTTTTGGAGTTGTTCTAGATCCTTGCATTGCTAAGAAGAGGTAAGTCTATCAAAGCCAGTCATTGAACAGCGTGGCTGTTACTGTGTACAATGTTCTCCTGGCCCTGCTCACTTCACTCAGCATCAGTCCATACAAGCCTTTCCAGGTTTTTCTGAGGTCCACCTGCTCATCATTTCTTATAGCACAATAGTATTCCATTACATTCATATACCACAACTTGTTCAGCCATTCCCCAATTGATGGGCATCCCCTCAATTTCCAATTCCTGGCCACCAAAAAAGAGCTGCTATAAATAGTTTTGTACATGTGGGTCCTTTTCCTATTTTTATGATCTCTTTGGGATACAGACCTAGAAGTGGCATTCCTGGGTCAAAGGGTATACACAGTTTTATAGCCCTTTGGGCATAGTTCCAAATTGCTCTCCAGAATGGTTGGATCAGTTCATAACTCCACCAACAACACATCAGTGTTCTAGTTTTCCCACATCTTTTCCAACATTTATCATTTTCCCGTTTTGTCATTAGTCAATCTGATAGGCCATTTTACACTCTTTAAAATTACTGAGGATCTCAAAGAACTTTTGATTATATGGGTTATCTCTATTGATATAGATGTGACAGTGGATACAGCTGCTAGGCCTGGAGTCAGAAAGACCTGAGTTCAAATTCAGGCTATGTGACCTTGGGCAAGTCATTTAATCTCTCTCTGCCTTAGTTTCTTCAACTGTAAAATGAGAATAACATACCTACCTCTCAAGGTTGTTGTGAAGATCAAAAGAGATAACAGCTGTAATGAACTTGCAGTTTCTGGCATATAAATAAGTACTGAATGCTTGTTCCCTTCCTCCTAGAACTTTAAACTTGATCCAATTTTAAAATACTCATTAATTCATTTAAAAATAACGGTGTATTACAAGTTAACAGGAATGTTTTACAAAAAAAACCTATATTTTACAAAACAAAGAAAATGTAGTAAGAAGGCATTGTTTTACAAATCTTTTAAAATTCTGACATAATAGAAGATAGCTGGATTTTCCTGCTTTGCATTGTATATTGTGATACAGTTTTGGCTGAATATATGAAGAAAATAGGGCCTCACACAGATGTGTAGTTGGAAAAGGGAGGAGTATTTTAATAGGCAAGTAACATCTTATACTATTAGGAAAATAGTTTTGATCTCAGGCACCCCCTGAAAAGGTCTCAGAGACCCCCAGGGGTCTAAGACCCACACTTTAAGGAGCTCTACCTTCCCATTTTGATGTCTCAAGGTTCTGAAAGCCTGAAACCATCTAGCCCACTTTTTCCATTTTACAGATGAGGAAACTAAGGCCAAGGGAGGTTAAGTGACTTGCCTAAGGCTGCACAGGTGGTAAGCTATAGAGGGTGGATTTAATCCAGGCTCTTGGTCTCCAGAACCAGTGAGCTTTCATATTGGAGATTTTTCTTCCTGTAGAAGACAATGGATTTTGTCTTGACTTTTTTATTCTTAATATCCACTTTGTTGCCACACAACAGATAGGGATATTTTCTAATGCTTGTACCAGATTTCTAGGCTAGTTAGGCACTTTTTTGTAAGGAACTCTTAATGTTACATGAAACATTAAAATGGTACCCTGAGCTTTGATGTAATAACTATTCTCAGACCTCCAAATTTCTCTTGGCCAGCTATATCCTACACATTGAGTTTAACAGAACCACTGTTAGCATGGAAAACCAGGGTATGGCCCTCTACACCCAAGGTGACCACATACTTCTCAAATTCACCAGTTAAGTGACATTTTTTCAAATGTTTTTTTTTCCTACTACCGTTATGACCAATACAAGTTTGAACTGAACTTGGAGTCTTCTTTGAGCAGCCTTGGTGATGGTTATTCCAGATTCTAGAAGCATCTGTCTTTGCCTGAATGAACTCACTGACTCAAAATTAAGTGCTTTTCTCACTATACATTGCCTTAACTTCAATAGCGCTTGGTTTCCCTTTCTATGAAATGAGGGAGTTGGGCTCCAAGATCCCTTACAGGCCTGAGGTTCTGTGATTCTTAACAGGAAAGACAGACTAGATGTGTCTGTATTGCCCACTGGTGACTACAGATTGCCACAACCACCTTCTCCACAAAGAGAGCTGTCATAGCCTTGTTTGCTAGAAAACACTTCTCCCTAATGAGGCAATAAGAGGGCCTCAGTTGGCCACTAGTCATTTGGCAAATCATAAGATCATAAAGAGCGTATCACGTGTTCAACTCCTTCATTTTACAGATGGGGAAGTTGTGACTTGAGATCACACAGGAAGGAAGCACCAGAAGCTAGATCACTCGGGAGTGGTCTGGCAGATCAGTCTGCAAGTAGGTCACATAACTGAATTCAGTTGTACTGCCTACTATGTGGTTAAGTGTTAGGAATACAAAGATAAAAATGAAAATATTCCCTTAAAGATCTTACACTGACATTTAATATATTAAATAGAAATCACATCTCCACAAATAAATGTGTACAAAATATTTTTTTTACCTGATCTATAATTTTATTGATGTATAGAATTCTCTCTACCAATGTAGATTGGCATACTTATCAGTCAATCAGATATCAGTCAATAAACATTTATTAAGTGCCTCTTACATGCAAGGGCACTGTGCTAAGTGCTAGGGATACAAAGAATGGCAAAGGAAAGTTCCTGCCCCCAAGGAGCACACATTCTAAAGGTGGAGACAACATATAAACAACTATGTACAAACAAGATATATACAGGATAAATTTTAGATAATCAATGGAGGGAAGGCACTAGAACTGAGGGATTGGGGAAGGTTTCATGTGGGTGGGGCTTTAGCTAGGACTTGAAGCCAGGAGGTGGAGATGAGGAAAGAGCATTTCAGGCATGGGAGCAGCCACAGAAAATGCCCACTGAGGAGATGGAATGTCTTGTTCAAGGAAGAACGAGGAAGCTGATGTCCCTAGATAGTGGAGTACGTACGGTAGGGGTGGGGGAAGGGGGAAGAGAGTGGCTTTGTTCTAAGGCATAGTAAGTCTACCATGTCATGTCTACCACTTATGAAATGCCTAGCTGATGAATGCCAGGGCTAGGACTCACACATACAAAAATCAATATAACTCTCATCCTCAAGAAGCTTATATTTTGTTTTTTAAAATAAAATAATTTTCACATCACCTACTATTTCCCAATGTTCCTTTTTTCTTTTTGCCTCCCATAGAACCTTCCCCTATAATTGTAATAGGACACTGTCCAAAGAGGGCTGTCTTCCCTACAGAGGTCAATGGCCTGTTTGGTGAGCCTGCTTCTCAGTGTGAGCTAAGGAAAAATGGAGGGGACTGCTCTGCTACTTAGCATATTCTGGCATTATGCTAGTCTACTTACTACTCAGTGAAAAAAAAGGCTTTTTGGTTGGCTGCTGAGCCAACAATGCATCAGCTGGTTACACTGGTGTTTCTTTCCCTGTGGTGAGCAAGGCAATACCTGCTCTTAGTCTCTAGGTGGGAGAGGGAGCACCAGGGCAAACAACCCAATCCTAAATGTGGCTCTGAACATAGGATGTCTTATTCTTTGTTCAGGTGATGTATTAGAAATGGGCCAGGCTGTGACCCTGCAAGCTTTGAAAGATCAGGGGAGCCACAAGTGGTCTGGGACCAGGAGTCCATACCAGAGTTTGTTATTATCATCAGCAACAGCAGCAGCTGTGGGGAAGCATCAGCACTGCTATGAGCAGAGAGCTGCTGGACCTAGTCCAACAGTGGGTAGACTCAAAGGAGCAACTCTTCCACCAGCTAGGCCACATTCATAAGTAGACTTGCTGGGACTAATGTTTCCTGGCAATGACTTTAAGCTAGAGCCCACTCTCCTCAGGGACTGAGGTGGTACAGACCCCAGTGTGGAGAGGATGTTTGCATTTCTGACCAATATATCTTCTCAGCAAATATCCTTCGGTAAAAACTAACTGATATTAATTGCTTAAATAATATTGGGACGCTCATCACTGGGGCAATAAATGGTATGGGGGAGATACTAACTGGGGAACATCTTGGAACAAGGGGTTGAGCTAATAATATTAAAGACATTTCCAACTCCTCAGGGGTATCCCTATTACCCTGAGGGGGAGAGGGAGTCTGCCCTCTGGGGACCAGTCTCCAGAGGGGTGGGGGAGTGGGAGTTGGAATAAGGGCTATACAACAATAAAAGAGGGGGAGAAGAATTCAGCAAAACTAAGCAACACACTGAAAATATCTGATATATATAAGTATCTGACATATATATGCAATATCCTCACCTACAGTCCTCCACATGCCTTCCTTGGGTTCCAGGTTAGTCATTATAATTTGACAGTTTCCATTGTTTCATTGTTATTTCCATTTACATCATTTGATGCATTATGTATAGTTTTCCTACTTCTGTCAACTTCAGTTTACAACAGTTCATGTTTTCTCATGCTATCACCTCAGCCAGCTTCCCTAACCCTAATTCACCACCCACCCTTTCTATTTCTTTTTCTGGAAACTCTAATCAAATCAATACTACCATTGCTTCTGGAAAGGGCATGTCAATTAGATGTTGTTCCCCCCACCACCCCTGAGACTTCCCAGACCAAAACAACCTTCCCTAGCCAGCCTCCTCTATGTGTGTTATCTCCCTTTTTAGAATGTTAGCTCCTGGAAGGCAGGGACTGTCTTTGCTTTGTTGTATTTATATCTCCAGTGCTTAACACTTTGAAAGTGCTTAAGAAATGCTTTTTTATTCATTTCTTCCAACCTTGGACAGGTCCATGGAGAATAGTTCATCACTGTGACCATACTCAAAGCCATTACAGCATAATAGATTCTGCCAGGGTCATTTACTTGCCACACATAGCATCACAGCAGGCCTTTAGTGGAAGCGAGTCCTCACAGCATTATCAGATCATAGAATTTTAGGAACCCATGCCCCTGCCTGAGCTGATCTCTACAGCCATTCCTGTTCTCCTCCGATAGGGACAACAACTGATTATAGGAGGCCAAGTCAATAAAGGAGCTGTACTACATTTGTACTAAGAAGACCTGGGTTCAAATTCCACCACTGCCACTTACTACCTGTGACCTATGGTAAATCACTGAACCTTTCTAAACCTGTTTCCTCATCTGTAAAATGAGGCGGTTGGATCAGATGACATCCATTTGGGCTCCATATCAACAATCCTCTAATTACTAATGCAGCTCACAAATCAATAGCAGTTTACTACCAAAAAAACACTTTCCCCACAAGCCTATGAGGTAGGTAGTGTAAGTATATTATTAGTTTAATGAATGAATGAAAAAGCATTCATTAGATGCTTACTATGTGTTAATCTCAAAAGGCAAGGTGAATAATCCCTCACATTTGTGGAGGACTTTACACTGATTCTCTTAATTGCCCTCAAATATAACATTTTAGACCTGACTTTTCCTTGAATTAAAATTTTCAGCCTGTAGCACAAACTTTTGGGGGCATTTCAGGAGTTTTCTCGCCTCCTATCCCAAGATGATCACTGTCTCCTCCTTCCTGAACGAGGCCTAGTTTGAGCGTAAACCTCAAGGAAACCTACTATCCAAGTGGCATAATTTTCATGGTAAATAATTTTGTGAAATGTGCCAATACCTTATCAAACAGGTTTCTTATGTCTTTTGAGTTGGACCTCAAAAATCCATTTCAGTCACTCAGGTTTGCCCTGGGGCTGGAGAATACAGAACTCTAGCTCCTTAGGCCCCTGAAATGCCAGCCACCAGCAGATGTGGCAGAAGGTAAATCTCCTCCAAATAGAAGAGAATTGTCTGGTTTTCACTTCTATGTAAGAATTATGGATTATTTTATGTAACAATTAAAACACTCAGCTACGACTTCTTGATATAGAAATAAATTGTATGGAACAACCACTAGGAATCTGGGAAAGTCAGAAAAGCCACTGTTGCTTCTGTTAGTCCTATCCTGGATTTCTTTGCTGTTTCTTTCTTTCTTTTTTCTTTTTTTCAAATAAGCACCATAGGGTTACAAAATACTCACTCGATCTTCACAACAACCTTGCGAGGTAAGTAGCATAGTTATTAATCGCCCCATTTTATAAACGAGGAAAGCATGGCACAAGGGAAGGGAAAGGACTTGCTCAAGCTCTCACAGCAAGAAGCAACCCTCAGTCTTCTAAATGATACTTCTTAAACAAGACTTCCTAACTAAGCTGTGGAGCAAGATCTGGGCATAAGAAAGTAGTTTAAAAAATAACATCACATAATTCCTGCAGTCTACTATCACACTACCCAAATATCAAAAGAAAACCAACTTATTTACAAAGGAGATTTGGAAATAGGAACAAGACAAATCTGACAAAAAATGGAAAACTTCACAGCTTAATGTGAGGTTAATATCAATCCACTGCTTAAAAAAATCTGGCAGGTAACATGTAAGAGCATTACAGTCAATTTTCATATGGTCACACTCATAAACGTACCTATTTACAAAAAAAAAAAATCCAAAAATAGGTTGTAAGACAAATGCACAGCCTACAGAAATCTAAAAAAAACAAACTTTGCTTTCTGTGATATTTACATTGTATCTTGTACTTGACAAAAAATAAACTCTGCAAAAATCCTCTTCCCACCTACTCCCACTGAGCTGATATCAGTATCTTCTGTTCATCTTCTTAAACTTCTCATAATGATAATCATCGGTTGCCTTTTCATTGGGGGGGCGCTTGCGATTTGGAGGAGACCCTTAAAGAAAAAAAGAGGAAAAAGATGTCAGCCATAGTTTAAAACTAGATATTTTAGGTAACAAATACCAGCATCCTCAAGCAGGAGCTACCAGGGATAGATTCTTTCAGGGACCTGTGATTCTATTGCTGTTCAAGAAAGGTGTGGCCTGAAGAGGAGAGTCATAGGAGATAAGAAATCCATCTTCTTGCAGCCGATCTGATCATAAGTCTCTTAGAACACAGCCAGGTAGGCCCACAGACAACAGAGGCAGAGTCCACTCGAGGGCTTGGTATAACTGGCCTGAGCTTTCACTCCACTGGTCTGGCTAATGGGAACCCCAGGGTCAACGCCACCCAGTGACAGATGTCAAGAGGATTTTAGTGGAGACCAGAAAAAGAAGCAGACATGGATTAAACAGCACTCTCTTGAGGCCAAAAATAAGAGCAACCAAAATAGAAAGAAGCCTATGACTTTTCTATTTAGGATAAAAGGAAAAGGCTGATAGCGCTGGGCTTTGGGAATGAAGGAAGCCAGAGCAGAGTCCCTGAGCAGCCCCTCTGAGGGAGTGTGTTCAGGTACAGCTACCAAGGGGGCTCCATGTCAACTACACCACACACTGACTCAAAGTACAGCTTAACCAATTTGCCAGGTGTTCAGGAAAAATTTGCAAGCTTTGGAAGGGTTATGACAGAACCAGCCTTAGATAAAATGCTCAGAACACAAAGTTTCTTTAAAAAAAAAAATGTGTTGCCAACGAATGCCTTTTTCCCCCCTCTCTTTTCTGTCCCTGCCATTTGCCTAGGACTCTCCCCAGCACCCACCAGTAAGACATATACAGACATTTGCTCTTACTCTCAGGTTCTGGCTTCTCCGTATCTCCCACCCTGAGGGGTCGGGTTTTCGGCTCTTCTTTGTGTCTCCGAACTGGAGCGTTGAGCTCTTCGTGATAAACTAAGAGGGAACAATTTGACAACAAATTCAACAAACACTGAGAAAAACCTACTATGTGTGAAACACTCACAAGTTAAGGACTCCAAGTATTTTCCTACCCACTATAATGTGAACAGAAGTAACAGAAAGGGCAGACAACATGTAGTGTTCTAAAAAAGGGAAGAAGGTGAGGAGACAAGGATGCCTTAGACACACTCACATCGGTTGTGCTGCACATAGTTCACAGCCATGTTGGTTGGAACAAAAGAGGTTTCACTATCTTTCTTTTTGTTCTGTTGTTCAGCCAGCAGGCGTGCCTTGGCATCTTCTGTCGATATAATATTTTTTATTTTTGCACTGTGGGGGAAAAGAAAGAAAATCAATCAACCTTAAAATATGAGAAATTCAAAGGCAAAAGGCTTATAAGACGGCAATCTTCCCTCCACCCTCACCAAGTACACAATGAGAGACAGGAAAGTGAATTGAAAAGAAACTGGTGGGAGAAGAGTAGAGTTCTTTACTGAGATCTTGGCCAACTCCACATGCAAAGGAGGCCTTAAAGGAAAATTACCCACATAGATCATTTTTGGTTACTATATTGATTAGTTACTATTTATATTGATTTGCATTATTTCCTCTCTTTTAAAAACAGTTGTGTTAAGCCAACATGAAGAGGGGTGATTAAGGGGGGAACTGAACTAATTATTGCCAATTTCACTGCTGAGAAGAGAATTAAGAGGCCTTGAGGATCAAGAGGCCTTGCTGAAACCTGGAACACCATTCCCTTGGGGCTTGTTCAGGATAGATGGAGTAGGTAGTGTTTAAAAGCACTTTTATTTTCAACCACGAGGGCCCTCCCTTAGGCCACTCCACCTGCTGGGCCATCTGAATGGCACCTGTGAACAGCTCCAACAGCCCACCTCCTGGAGAAGAGGAAAACTACCTTTTTATTTCCTCCTTAAGATTACTGTGGATGAAAGTGTGTGTGTCTGTGTGTATGTACTAGCCTTTTGTACTAGCCTTGTGATTTCACTGGCATGGGGACTTCCCAGGAAAGTTCCTCTACCAATGTAGATTGGCATCTACACTGCTACTTCTAGCCTCTGAATTACCCAGGGCACTGAGAGGTTCAGTGACTTGCCCCAAGGAGCACAGCTAGTATGGACCAAGGCCAAAACTATCATTCCAAAGCCAGCTCTCTATCCACTTTACCACCACTATTTCTCATGGGAGGGAAAGATGGGGAGAAAAAAAATAACTTCAAAGACTGGGTTAAGAGAAGTATTTTTCCAAGTGCTGACCAGCTCTCCAAACTACAATCTGTTCAGGCTACTGATCCAGGGTCCTTGTCAGCCCTCCCCAGTTACATCTGCTATTCTTGGAAGAAGCACGGACTGCACCAGGGACATTAAGTTTACTTCTGATTTTTGCCTTAGTGCAAAAGTTTCAGCAACACCCCCCTTAAATTCTACCTAAAGTAAACTAGTCAGCCAGGTGGCATAGTGTATAAAGAACTAGACTTGGAGTCAAGGAGACCTAAGTTCAAATCCTGTCTCAGACACTCATTAGCTGTGTGACACTAGGCAAGTCATTTAACCTCTGTCTACTTCAGTTCCCTCACCTGTAAAATGAGAATAAAAATAGCACCTACCTCCAAGAGTTGTTGTAAGGATCAAATGAAATATATTTGTAAAATGTTTTCTAAATCTTAAAGTTATATATGCCAGCTATTATGATTATTTCTAATAAATGGATTTTTTTATTTAATTTCTATTGAGTGAATGAATAAAGTAAGAGGATGAAACTTACTCAATGCCCAAGTCCACCTCAGGGATGCCACTCAGCATCTGGTTGGACAGCATCTCTTCTGTTTTCTTAGCTGAGGAGACTCGGATGCTCTCAGGGAGCTCATAGAGACAGTCTTCGGCGTTCTTCAACTTCACTTTCTGCTCCTCATTTTCCACAATTCCTTTCCTCTTCTTTAGCTCAGTCTCAATGTATTTCATCCTAGAATATACCAAAGGACAGCAGATAGCATCTGAGCTCTGCTCTGCTCTGAGCCACAGCCCTTTGGCTAGTCCAGCAGAAGAGGAAAGCGTATTGAGGGGAACTTCAGGAACTGCAAAGTGGGTGGGAAGGGGTGGGAGGGTGGAAGACAGAGAAAGGAAAAGAATTCTGAAGCCTTCTACAAGCTCCAAAAATTTTCCTTGTTTCCGCTGGGAAATAAGATTTAGAACCCATAACGAAAGAGTTATCTGTTCATGCCCTAGAAAACAAAAACACTTACATGTCAGCATCTTCATCCCTTCGGTTGGTTTCTGCTGAAAACGATGTTCCTAAGTTAAGGTCCTCCTCTTCATTAATCCTAAAGGGAGACAAAGGTAGGGTATCTTTAATGTAGCCTTGGGGAAAAAGTCCATTAAAAACAAACATCAAAGAACATTTTGTGAGTTATTCTTTCACAGCTGTTTTCCCCAATCTCTCTGAGGATGCAAGTGAATCTTCCTGATACTATGGGCAATCAAAATTGAGTGTATTCACAGGAAGAGAAAATGTTCTCAATAGTTTCTAAAAATGTTTTCCACCAACCTGTCCTTGTTTCTCTCCTTAAGTTTCTTCATGTCCACCATTCCACCAGTCTTGATCTTAAAGGGATCATCCTACCAAATAAGAATGATGATGATAGTGAAAAAGCAAATATAGTTCATAAACTCTGTGAGGGACAAAGATCATTTCTTATTCATGTTTTTATCACCCAGAGTTCAATTATCAAATAGTTATTAGGCACTTACTACATATTAGGAACAGCACTGGGTGCTAGATCCTAGGACTCAGGATCCTGAATAGGTTAGGTATCAATAAATGTCGGTTGACAGAGAATAGATAACTTTTCTGGAGCACAACCTACTTCAGTTCTGTTCATTGTACAACTGTGCTTTACTGAACTATAAATCACACTTTGAAAACTTGCTAATTTTTCAGGGTCAGCCTTCCTAGCCAAATATTATGGCATTTACCAAGCATAGCAGCAAAACTCACCACTAGAGTTGTTTCTTCCTGTACTTTCTCCCCAACCAGGAGGGCTACAGCACTGAGGGAAAAAATGGTGGGTACAACTCAAAGACAGGAAAACAAAGTAGTCAATTCAGAAATTCATTATCCAAGCTGACAAGAAAAACTCATGTGAATAATGGGGGCCAAAAAGGCATGTCAGGAAAGATAATGTTTAAAAAAAAAAACCCAACCAGACTAAAACTGATGCTAACACTCAACTTCACAGATATGTTCTTAGTTCTTCGAGCTAGATCAGGTTTAGAAGTAACCTAGTCCAAAACTCCATTGCCCCCACCCCACACCTCAGGTTAAAAAGGCAGGAAGAGCCAGCACTTGAATCCAGATCTTGTGATTCCAAATCCAGTCCTCTCTGTACTGCTTCCACTCTCCATGATCTTTCCAAATATCATTGACAGTGGCTCAAGACTTCTACCAGTTCCTTCAGTTCCCAAGGATGTAAACAATGTGGTCATGGTGACTTGAATTCATCAAAAACAACCTTGTTTTTTTTTTAATCATATGATTTTCAGTGCAAAGGTCATTCTCCTTGGCAGAGAAAACTGAAGCAAAATAAACACTAAGCATCTTCTACTCTGCCTACTCATTCTGAACTATAGAAAAGCACCTGGAAAAAGCAGGGGAACCATGTAGCAAATGGAATGCCCTGGTATACAGTTTTACACAGAAGATGGGCTATTTCAAGTAGTTGTGCATTTGTTACAGCATTACACAAAGGGGATCCAGGACATATTTTTCTTTTTCTTCTCTTCTGACTGTGGTCCCTAATCCAAGGTGGTTAGACCTACCTCACCCCATTAGGTCGTCTCCTCAAGCTCTGAACTTCTTTGGTTTCCTCAAGTTTCAACCTGAATGTAACACAGAGAAATGATTAAGCAGTCCAAAAATCAAAATAAAATGGGGTCTAGTTATTGAGAGCTCTATCCACTAGCTCTGAGGCTCTGTCCCCAAGGGGACCTGTATTTCCAACTAGTAACAGGTTAAGAAAATGTCATCAATTTTCTTATCTGCTGGGGGACAACAGTCCCCAAGTATAGCAGTTTTTGACCATACAATGTGTATACATGTGTTCATAGGAGAGGATTAGGGGAAGCTTAAAAAGGCAGGTCAGGAAATTAATTTTTTTTAAATGACATATTAGGTTTCAGCACCTCTTGCACCTATCACTTTTCACTCTCCCCATTCCCCTCCCTTCTTTCCTATATTTAATACTGTTTTCTCTCAGGAGAGGAAGTTTTATAAATTTTCTGTCTCCTATGAAGTAGAGCATAACATACATATATATATATATCTAGATATGTAAGAATGAGAATAATGGTCCTACCGCCTACCTAACATGAGATGACTTCTGTCATCAGGGGATAGGATGACTTCTGTAATGCACTCTGGAAACTTTAAGGTGCTACATAAATGTCAGATATGATACTACGCTGCTGAAAGGATGTTTAAACTGTTGAACTGTTGTCACAGGAAGAGAATATACTTTAGGTAATATGCTTTAGGCATAATCATTCATTCAACAGACAGTTATCAGTCAAGACAACAGGCATATATTAAGCATTCAGTAGAGCCGGGCATTGTGCAAAGAAGGGTAAAACCAGAGCCTGTCCTCAGGGAGCTACCATTCTACTGCGGGAGCGGGAGGGCAGCATCGGGAACCCCCGCAGCTCCCGCATCGCTTTTGGGGCGCTCGTCCCCCTGGGGGGCTGAGGAGACAAAAACCCAGATAAAAACCGGGCAGCACGAGATCCAGGTCGGCTGCCCTCCGTCTGGGCCGCGGCCATTTCCCGGAGGCATTTCACTGGGCCGGGGCTTCTCTGCACGGCGGTCCCGCCGCCCCCGACCCCGCTGCCCACTCACCGGACCTCCTCACTGTTCTGCTCGTCCGACTCCGACTCCGAGTCGGCGCGGCGCTTGCGGAAGGTCTTGCCGGCCCGCATGGCACCCGGCGCCCGGGCTTCCCCCGGGGACTGGGGCGGGGTGCCCCCGACGCCGCTTCCCAGCCCCGGGCCTGCGCAGCTACTCCGGGGTGGTTCCGTCGCTGGCGAGTGTGGTCAGAGCTGCGTGCGGCGGCGGCGGCGGCGGCGGCGGCGGCGGCGGGCCCGCCTCCGGCTCCCACGGCCCGCGCGGGGCGCTCCCCATAGGGCCGCGCGCTCGGGAGCCCGCCCCTCCCAGCCGGCCACGCCCCTCCCCTGCGCCACCTCCTCCCGGGCCGAGGGGGATGGGGAGGGAGCAGCCGCGCCAGCGGCCACTCGGAGCCCGGCCCGCCGAGGTGAGTGTGGGCGCGCGGCCGCGGCCTTCCGTTATCCTTCCGGAGCCGTGGGGCGGGAGGGGAGGAGGGCTGCGATCTTCTGGGGGGGGAACGGGAAGAAGAGGGACCCCTTCCGTTTACCGCCCCCCCCCCGCCTCCCGAAGTCGTCTTCCCCTCCCCTCCCATTTCATTGCACTTCCCTCCCCTTCCTTCCTCTCCTTTTCATTTCCCTCTCCTCCCCTTTCTTCCCCTCCCCTCTTATTCTCCTCCCTTCACCTCTCTTTGCATTCCCCTCCTCCCTTTTCTTTTTCCCGTCCCCTATCCTTCGTTCCGCTTTCACTTCCCTCCCTTCCCCTCTCATTCCTCTCCCCTCCTTTCCCCTCCCTACCCCCACCCCTGCCCAAATCCCAAAGCTTAAGTGGTGGTCTAAGTTATACCAGTGTTCCAACCCCCCCCCCGCCAAGGTGCCTTCCAACAGGATAGATTTTGGCAAATATAAAATCCCAGAGATCTCCTTCCTGCTCAGAACCAAGCATCTCCAATTTGTGTACCATTGTCTCTGGTACGTTTCAGTAATTATTTAATTCCAACTGTAGAGAGCTGGCCTTTTTAAAAAAAAATGAATGAGACAGCCTAAAATAATACTTTTAAAAGTAAATTGTATTTGGGGACTTAAGGAACATTTTTGCAATATACCACAGCCCTGAGATGAATTTTTTAAAGGAAAAGAATTACACCTTTCCCTTCTGTTGTTATTTTAAAACTAAAACCGGAAGCATCTGTCATCCCTAACCAATCAGAAGGGAGCTTCCTATATTTTTAGTTAACATTCATATAGGAGCTAATGACTACTGGATTCTGGAAGGAGAAGACTCTGTACTTGATTTTAATATTTATTTGCAAGTGACCTTGGCTAAGTTCCTCAATAATTCTGTAACTTGCTTTCATTATGGGTAAACAGAAGAGAGTAAAACCTCTTCTCCCACACAAGTTCTGTGAGGATTAACTTCATCTTGTAAAAGTGTGTTTCCAGAAGGTTTTATGTTAGTACATAGTAATTCTTCACTTTTTTTTTTTTAACCAAAGGAGAGATCCTTTCTTCTAGTAGTTTGGATCTACCACTAGCAAGTTATCCCAGTTTCAGTGGAGTCACAGTCATTCCTAGATATCCTTTTCAATTGCTTATAAATGTACACTAATGCTGATTGTTTTTTGTTTTTTGTTTTTTTGTCATACTTTTGGACCGAAAGTGTTGACTGGTGCCAGGGAAATGGGGTGTTTTTTTCTTCTGGAAGGGTAAAACTTGACCAGCCCTGGGCTACAGCATATTACAGTATATCACACCAAGCCTGCAAGGTAGATGGCACCAGGTAGTTCCACCTAGGTGTCTTTAAATACAGCTGAATAGGGGGCAGCTAGGTGGTGCAGTGGATAGAGCACCGGCCCTGGATTCGGAGGACCTGAGTTCAAATTCGGCCTCAGACATATAACACTACTACCTGTGTAACCCTGGGCAAGTCACTTAACCCCATTGCCTAGCCAATAAATATAACTGAATAGTAGGTGTCAAGGACTGTATATCTTGTCTCAAGACCATTGTTTTGTTTTGGTCCTTGCTTAGTTAAGTACCCCCTCCACAGATTCTGAATTCAGACCCTGGCAATGACCTAGGCCCCTGTACACTGACTATGCCCTGTGATGGAAGAATTGACAGATAACTTATGTCATAAGCTGGTACTAAAACTGAATGAAAGATTGGCAGGTTTGGTATAATTAGCACTGAACTACAAATTAGAAGACCTGAGTTTGAATTCTGGCTTTGCCACTTGTTTTCTTTGTGATCTTAAAGAAATCACTTAAACTTGATGCTTCTGTTTCCTCACCTGTAAAATGGGACTGATATCTGTATTACTTACCTCACAGGGCTTTCATGAGGATCGAATAAGATCATGGCTGTAAACAATGGATATAAAGCATTTTGTAAACCATAAAGTGTTATTTTTAACATCAGCTTTTATTATTATGAATTTAGATTTAATCCATGTTTGTTGGATTGAGTTCTGAGAATATTTTGATCTTTTTTTGTATTAGAAGGGATGTTTGATTCTGGTTTGAACTGGTTTGCTAGCTGTTTGCTTAAAAAAAACCTTTGGTTTAGGTTTAAGGTCAGTAAAATTATTATTTGTGTTAGGAAATTAGTATTTGTGGTTCAGAAAATTAGTATCATTTGTTCTAATTCCTAGTTTGATTGGTAGTACAATAGAAAGAGCACCAGACCTGGGTTCTGACACTAACTTTCACTGTGACTTTGGGCATGCCACTTTCCTACTCTACCCCTCAGTTTCCCCAGGATGAACAGGTTAGATTAGATGATGTATCAGCATGGCCTGTCCTAGCTCTGAAAGACCACACATTTAAGTCCATGTTTGAAAGTCACTTAATTCACAGGGCAGCTAGGTGGCGCAGTGGATAGAACACCGGCCCTGGATTCAGGAGGACCTGAGTTCAAAAGTGGCCTCAGACACATAACACTTACTAGCTGTGTGACCTGGGCAAGTTACCATTGCCTAACCAAAAAAAAAAAAAAAAAGTCACTCAATTCAGACTTTTCCAGTGCAGAGTTATCTAACACAACACACACATACACAGGCAGAACAAGGTAAAAAATGTAATTGGAAAATATAACAAAATATATAAAAATACAATAAACCATAATGTTAATATGTTATTTTCTAAGTCAGTATGTGACCTACAAGGATCCTTATATTTGGTTTAGTGGCCTGGTTTCTATTTGAGTTTGACAACACTGTTCTAGTGTATGTAATAATAATTAAGGTAGTATTTGTATAGCTCTTTAAGGGTTGCAAAGTACTTTACATACATTTTTATATTATCTCACTACGACCCTGGGAAACTTGAGGAAGATAGGTTAAGTGACTTGCCCTGGGCCACACAGCTAAAAAGTGTTTGAGGTCAAAATGGAACTGAGGTCTTCCTGACTTCAGTCTAGAGCTTTATCCACTGCACCACCTAGTTACCTATAAATGCCTAGAGTGTATGTTGTTTGTTACCAGTCTTTGTTGATTTCCCGTATCCCTATCCAGTCGTGCGCAGTATATGAAAACCCTGTCCTATCACATCACTGTTTCTTGTGCAGGACAGTAGTGTTAGGTACTATAAGGTTTTAGAAGTAGAAGTTATGGTCCCTGCCCTCAAGAAGCTTACAATTTAGTTGAGGAGTATAGATCCTTACATTACGTTAAATCATTCAATTAACTAATATTTATTGAGTGCCAACTCTGTGCTAGTCATTGAAGATGGTGAGCAAGGCCTAGTCTCTACCTCCAAGGATCTAATAGGATATTAGGATAGGATATAAGGAATAGAAATAACAGCAACAATATTAGCCGATATTTGTTTATTATAGTGCTTTAAGTGTTATGAAGCACTTTCCTCACAATAATGCAAATTAAAATATCCCCTGCCCTTCTTAGATTGTTGTTTGTATCTTTGTGTTCCCAGCATCTTTGACAGTGCCTTGAAGCAATAGATATTTAATAAATGTTTGCTGAATTGAGTATGTAAAAATATAAATACTGATGTTGAATGTGACAGTAAAAATATTTAACTAACAGTTTAAAACAATCTGAGATGTCTTAAGGTCATAGATTGTGCAGCCAATTATATAGCCAGTAAGTGCCACCGGGAGCCGGCCTTCGCTGGGAACTGGGCTGCACTGAGCTGGGCTGATCCTTGAAGGAAGCTTAGAGAAGATGGGGCGAGAGCCAGGTCTGGAAGGTTAGGCAAAATTTAGACCGGGACAGAGAAGAGAGTCTTGCTTGCTTTTCGGTTGTGGCCCTGTGCTCCTACCCCAGTTCCCCCTGGATTTCTAAGGCTTATACAATAACTTAGTTGTTTGTGGCCCGACGACACCGCCCCCCTCTCCCTGCAGAAAGACTGTATTCCGTCTAATGGAATATAAGTTCCTTAAGGGCACACACTGTTACTTTTGGGGGGGGGGGGGCTTTGTCTCCCAAATGACTGGGAGGTAATAAGTGAAAGTCCCCTGCCACTGGGGTTGACAGCTGACACAGGTTTGCTCTCAAGGAAATGGCCATCCATAGGAGGAAGAACAGGAAAGGTGTTTGGTGGCAAAGGCTGTGATCCCTTTTCATTTTAAAAAGGTTTTACTGATGCTCTTAAAAAAAAAGTCGCTGTCACTTTCCTATGATCCCACCCATCCATTGCACCGTCCCCTATAACAAGTAAAGCCTGCGTGCAAAACACATGCACACATTGGCCAGGTCTGAAGATATATTCCTTGTACCGCTCCTGAAGTCCCTCATCTCCGCAGAAAGGCTGAGCACGGTCCCTTTTCCCTAGAGGATGTAACCGGGGCACTGGGGGAGAGGGCCGCCCAAGTAAGCCCCAGGAGTCCCCGCCTTCCGGCTCCGAGCTGGCTTACCTGCGGGCCCCGCCTCCGCCCTTGGACTAGGAGCTGCTTGGCTTCCCCAGCCCACGCCTCGGGCTCGCTCCCCGGGTGGGAGGCCCCTCCCCGGCGCCCCCTGCCCCTGCTCCGTTCGTGGACCAGCCCGGCGCGTCGCCCCCCTCCAGCCCTCCCTTCTACCTGTCCTGGTTCGGGAGGAAGCCCCCCCCCCGCTCCCTGGTCTGCTCCAGCTCCCCCTTCCCTCCCGGGCGTAGTCCCGGACCCCCAGCC